TGGATGGATGGATGGATGGATGGATGGATGGATGGATGGATGGATTGGATGGGTGAGTGGGTGGATGGATGGATGGATGGATGGATTCGATGGGTGAGTGGGTGGATGGATGGATGGATGGATGTGTGGATGGGTGGATGGATGTCTGGGGCTGCAGCCATCTCCACCCAGCACCTCACATAAGCCCCAGTCACACTCGCTTGCTTGTGGCCCCTGAATGGTTATGGCCCCTGTCCCGTTGCTCCCTCTTCCTGGAATTCCACCCCCCACCCCATCCCCCTCACTGCCACTGCACCCTTTCCTGATCCTCCTGGGCTCCTGCTCGGAGCCCACCCTAGTGCCTACTCTGCACTGTAAGCTTTGGAGAGGGTGGCCTTTGGGAGAAGTTCTCCACATCACCAGGGTTTGTACAGGGACTGGTGCCAAGTCGCTATGAAATTATATTTTCTTTTTTTTTAAGATTTTATGTATTTATCTGAGAGAGAGAACGCACGTGCATCTGGTGGGGGGGGGCGGATAGTGAGGGAGAGGGAGAGAATCTCAAGCAGACCCCATGCAGAGCACAGAGGCTGATGCGGGTCTCGATATCATGACCCAGAGATCATGACCTGATCGATTGAGCCACCCCGGTGCCCCGAAATAATATTTTCTAATGACTCAATGCACATTTGAGGGAGTGAGTGGCGTGGTGAGGAGGGAAGGAAGGGAAGATGATTCTTGGCAGGAAGGTGAGGAATGGAGCAACCCAGAGCCCGGGACTGGTCTGTTGTGGGGCTGAAACCCCTGTGTAGGTCCCTTTGGAGATCCTGCCCCTTACTCAGACACTCTGAGACAGCAGAGAGAGACAGGCCCTGTTCTTGGAGCAAAGGCCTGTCATGGGAAGGGCTTAGTGTAAGTGCTGAACCCACCGGTGAGCCTCCCTCCCCCCAGGCCTCTTACCGTGGCATGATCTCCATCTGTTACTCCAGAATCACCAGCTTTGACACCAAGGATGCAGGGGACCTCCTGTCCCCGTCTCCCCAACATCTGCCAGACCATCCTTTATCAAAACTGTAAACCATCGGGCATGCTCTGGGCACTTAATTTTTATGAAATATTGGGTCCTGTTACTGTCAGGCAAACAGAGGAGTTGGTGACAAATTTTTCTCCCCTTGCTGATGCCAAAGCATCTCGGCATGATGCATGGCTTCCATGAGGGTGGCCATCATCGGGGGCCATTGAAATTGATGAGGACGGCACATATCCAGGGGAGATAAACGTGCTGTAGTGGCGAGGACAAGCGCTGAGCCCCCGGGCACCCCTGCCTTACCCCTCTAACTCAGAAAGGCAGCACAAAGCCCTCCTTCCTGCCCGGCCTGGCTCCTCAAACGTGTCCGTGGAAGGAAAGCCGTTTATTACAAGAGGTTGTCACCGTGTCGCTCAGTGTCCTGATTCAGTGACCTGGCTCATTTGCAAGGTGGATGCTTCCCCTTGGCAGGCAGTGCAGCATAATGAATCTCCACTCTGCTTAAGCCCTCTAAACCGTGGGCAAGGATGATGCCCAGCTCCATCTGGAGGCCTGAGCGTACCCGTGGCCCCTGTGCCATCTTGCGCTCACATGTCCATCTGGCAGCTCGTTCGAGAGTCTTCTTGGGAAAGGGCAGGACATGCGGCTTATGAAATAAGAAGTCTGTTTGCAGTTTTTCTGACCGTGCAGAGCAGGTGTAGGAGGCCACGACCCCACAGACCTCCCATAGCTAAAGGTCCTGGGCAGGGGCGCTCCTGCACCTTCCTTGTTGGACCCCACGCCTGCCCATGAACTTAGGAAACCACATGTCATCGTTTGCCTTTTCAAGGCAAGGGCATTAATTGAAAAGCACTCTGAGAAGCAACCAGAAGCTCCTCTGAGAGGAGCCCTTTGCAGTTCCAGCGGACAGTCGGTCAGGGGCCTGAGTCTGCAGCCAGCCGGAGGAGCTGGGAGGCCGATTTCCCCACGCCCAGAAATGGACTCAGCAGTAGTAATGAGGCTGATGGGCGAGCGGCAGCCTCCGCTTCGTGGTCTCTGGAGCAGGTGGCGGCTGGGGCTCCTGACTGTGGGGGAGGTTGTCCCCCTTAGTCTGAGCTGTAAATGTTTTCCCCGGGGCCTCTTCTGAAAGGCAGACTATTCCTGCTGTTTGGTAGATAGTGTGAAATGGAAAGCAACTAACATCTGCCTCTGCCTGGCTTTGCTCTGAGCTGCCTATGAGCCAGCGGAACACTGGGGAGTCCTTGACATCCTGTAGAGGTCCTCACTGGGCCTTCGTCCCAGCCTGGCACATCTGTGCCTCCCTTTCTCCCCCCCACTCGCAGCCCGCCCCCTGTGTCCCCTGCCAAGAGGCCGCCCCTGACCAGCTCCGCGTCAGCATCAGCTAGGGTGGGGCTCCCTGTGGGACAGATGCTCAGTCTCTGGCTCTTCTGACAGTGACAGGCTTTGTGCTCTCTGAAAGGAATTCCAGGCACCTGTGATCGGGGGAAGGCCTATCTTGGGGGCCTTCCCTCTGCCGCCTTGAACTGGGCACATGTGGGCCCCATCGTGATGGGGCGACTAGAGTGCAGATCTAGGCTGTCACGAAGTCACTATGTGCTCTGCGGAGAGCAAGGTGGCCTCTCCCTGAACCCATTTTCCTAGCTGTGGTGCACGAATACAAACGCCCACACATCTTAGGGCTGTCGCGGGGAAGAGGAGCGGTGGGGGGAATTTGCAGCAGTACGTTCACTCTACCCTGAGTCTGACCCGGGGCGTGCTGTGTGTCCCTGGGAGGAGGGGACCAGGTGAGAGTCAGTTGTCTGAAGGCCGGGCCAGATGCATGTTGGCTGTTCTCTTGCCTCCACGCAGGACCTGACCTCGTACACACTCGAAATAAAAACGCCCCCACCCTGATCCCCTGGGGCCCACCCCGGCTTCCCCCCGAAGGAAGCCAAACCAAAGAAGCAAAAGTCCCTGCCCTTTTTTCTCCTGTTCTTCTTGCCAAGTCAGTTGACCCAGGATGTGATGGGACACTTTGGTGATGAGAAGCCAGCGGGAGAGAGGAAGGAGGGAGGCAGCTGAGGAAAGCGGCTGAGTGCATACATGTGCATATGCGTGTGCGTGTGTACGTGTCCTTACGTGTGTGCACATGTGCATGCATGCATGCGTGTGGCCCTCGGCACAGACTGCCTGGGGCCAATAGTGACCTTTGGTCGGGGGCAGGTGGCTGAAGGTGGCTCACCGTGGGTGTGCTCTGCTTCCCCCGCCCCCCCCCCCAGGAACAGCTGGCTGAGCTCAAGGAAGACCTGGACAGGGATGACTGTAAGCAGGAGGCCGAGGTGATCATCTACGAGACCAACTGCCACTGGGAAGACTGCACCAAGGAGTACGACACGCAGGAACAGCTAGTGCATGTAAGCCTCCGAGCCCTAGCTGCCTGCCCCGGCAGGCAGAGCTTCCAGTCCCTCTGCTGGAGAGAAGGGCCTGGACGAGGTGGCTCCCGGAGATGCCTGGGCCACAGCCTCTGCAAGTGGGAGGCGTAATTATTTATGTGGGCCCCGCCTGCTTCTAAAAGGGCCCTTACAAATGCATACATCCTAAGAGATTTAACACAAAAATAAGTAAATGGGAAAATTCAGGAGAAAGGAACAATAAGATGAAGCCAGGAGTAGAATGTATTTTAAAAACAAAGTGCTCTGGACTATAAGTCACATAAATATCCTTTTTTTGAGCTTCCTAGCAGCCAGAGCAAAGAGGGAAATAAGACCAGTTAAACCAGCCAGCATCTGCAAGATCATAACAAGCCTGACCCTGAAACCCTGAAGAAATTCCTCCCATGGAGGGAGGAATTAGTAGTTTCCCCTGGGAGACCATTCCCAGAGACCCAGTACACACAAGGGCCGACGGGGTGTTGGTACCGTATCAGGAGGGGGCTGCTTAAATGTGCCTGGATGCTGACAGGCCATGGGACCTGGGTGCGCCTTTCATGTCATGTCCCTTGGTCTTCACTCTGAAGTCTTCTATAGCAGCATTCACGTGACGGCAGTGAGGGGGTAACCCCAGTGGGAAGAGCAGAGGCTTCAAAGCTGGCTACATCACAGCTAGCCAAGTGGTTCCGAACAAGTCACTTAACCCCCGCGAGCCTCAGTTCTTTTTTTCTTCTGTAATGGCAGGTGAAGCCTACCTCGCGAGGGTGTGACGGTTATAGATGGAATGCCCACGTAAGCGTGTAGTAGGTGGCATTTCATACGTGGTGGTTCCCTCCCACCTCCTCCTCCCTGTTCCCCACACCAGCCTGAGTGAATCTCTTCTGCATCCAGAAGAGAAATTGACTTCAAGAATAACCCTCCCAGCTACCCCCTACCCCCGCACACAAACACACACACAATTCTTGGGGACTGAGAGTCTGCAAAGATGAGCCCCACACCAGACTAGCACTCGATCGCTGGGTAGGGTAGATACACACACTGTTCCCATCCAGAAGCCACCCCAAAGGAGCTCGCTTCTCCCCAGCCCTGTGCACTCAGCAGTTAGGACACCACCCACTCCCTCCGGTCATGAGAGTTGCTCTCAAATACTGGAGGTTTCTTTTGCTCTGGGGATCCCCCCCACCGATGCTCATGTAGGAGACTGGGATTTCCCAGCAAACCTGTTGCCGTTGACACAGCACCAGCGGAGCATGACTGCTCTAATCCCTCCTGGAAATTGAGCCTAATTTTTCAACCTGTACCACGTCTTTGGGTGAAGGAGTCCAAGATGGAGAAGGGGCCATGGGGGCTGCGAGTTGTAGGATGGATCAGATGAGATGAAAGGAGAGAGAGGACAGCACGCAGGGCCGGGAGGGGGCCGGCCAGAGAGTGGAGATGCAGACACGAGAGGTGTGCTGGGTGATGAGCGAGCCGGGCTGCCAAGAGCAGGGAGGGAACTCCTCCAGTAAAAGGCATCAGGGGCAGGAGGCTTTAGCTGCAGGCTTCTGCCTGTGCCCAGGACTGTCCCTGCAGGCATAGGGGAGTGCCGCTGCCTGGCCCCAGAATGAGAAGGCCCCTATGAGAAGAGAGCCAGGCCCTCGGCCCAGCTGTGTCTTTCTCTCTGCTCCCTGGGAAGATGGATGGTGGCAGGCACACAGGCGAGCCGGAGCCCCCAGTCGATTATTAACAATTTGTTGCTAAGTAAACCAATAAGAAAAAAATGAAAGGCATTGTCAGGAAGCATTTTTATCATTTGAAAGGCTTTAAAAATGGAAAGTGAGGCTAATACGATAAGATTTCCCTGGAAGTTCAAAGCGCTGTAGATTTTACTCACTCCAACACTGACATTTGTATGCATGACAGCTGGGCCTGTTTCTCAGGGCGTGTGGGCCTGACGGCTTGCTGTCTCTCTGGGTCGGGCTCTCCAACAGCCCCGCAGCTTGCAAAGATCGACAGCAGCACCGTCCAGTAGAAAGACACCTCCAGCCACAAGGGCCCACCACGCGTGTAACTTGACATTAACCTGGGAACATGTTTTAAAAAGAGTAAAAGGAAACAGGTGAAATTCACTTGAAAAATAGATTTTCTGTCACCCAATATATCTGAAAGGTGATCGTTTTGACGTGTAATCAATATAAAGCAGAATTATTGGGATATTTGACATCCTTTTTTTTTTTTTTTTTCATTGTCCATCTTGGAAACAGCCCATCCCAGTTGGGACCAGCCACATTTCAAGGGCTCAAATCCACAAGGGGCGAATGGCTACCGCGTTGGAGGTGGTGGTGGGTGGGAGGTGGTGAAAGCGGGAAGACAAGCGGAGAACAGAGAGAAGAGAGGCGGTGGGGCTGGAGAGAATAGGCAGCCAAGACCTGAGTGTCCCACCCTCCCGTCCCCCTTGGGGGAAGCAAGCCCAGCCTGATCTGCACACAGACAGGACACGACCTTGAACCAAGAGGGAGATGGAAGGGGAAGGATGGGACCTTGATGGGGCACAGGGAGGCTCCCCGGTGGCCTTTAGAGAGAAGCCCTAGAGGGAGAGGAAATACCCAAGGTCCAGTATACTTTTTCAGTCCACTGTGTGAGTGACTAATACCACCTGTTTTCACTCCCCCCAGATAGATAAGCAACCTCAAAGCCTAAGGACATAAAAGTCTGGAGGCCCCACACATATCCACACATCCTAAGCTCAGAGCTGGTAATACCCCTGCTCCAGTGAGTACTGCAGCCTTCAGTGAAATAATCAAAGCAAGTGACTAAAATCCAAAGGGTCTACCCAGGGCAGCTTGCTCTGTTCCCTTTGACAGAAAGGGAACTTTGGCCCATTGCTCCATATCAAGGGAGAAACTACTCAAGGTGACACACATGTGATGAGCCCGAGGCAGAAGCTGGAACATATGGGGGCAGAGACTGGGGAAAAGAGGAAAAGTCAGTGTCCCATTCCCAGGCCAGGGCAGTGCTGCCTGGGATGCGCCTGAGGACCCCTCCTCCATGAAAGGCTTCTTGTCCTTGCCCTTCCCAGCTTCGCCTGAGGTGGCCCCGCTGGCCCTGGGATGCAGGGCTCCCCGGGCCATGCCTCGAGATCAGTCGTGCTGTCTTTGGCTGACCTGCTTTACCTTCCTGGGCCATCGTGTGCCGGGAGGCAGCCTCAAACAGTGCCCAGAGCCCAGCATCAAGGTCAGAAACGAGCCCTGCCTACCCTTGCTCCTATCCATCTGGGCCTCGGTGAAAAGGGGCGGAGCCATCACCTCATAGGCTGCTGTCAAAAGCAGAGATGAGGATGCCTTTATGTTTCCATTATGATAAAAAGTGTTATTCAGGAATTCCTGGGACAATAGGGGCAAGCTTGGGAGGAGCTTCCCATGCACCAACCATGTGCATGTCAGCCTCGCTACAGTTCATTAGTGCCTACTCTTTGCAGCCCAGGAGCATCATCATCCCGACCAGAGCCTGGAGCCCAGCCTGGGGTGAGCGGGATGCCCTTGCCCATCACGGATGGTCACTTTGATCACTGACTAATTGGGGAATGCCACTGAGACGAGTAGCACACAGTAGATCTGCAGTTAGTGGCAGCTAATGAGAGCTGATGAGGAGGTGTGGCCTGGCTCACAGGCGGTGGTCTTGTCGGGAGGGCGGGGGGCGGGGTTCTGCACGTCGGAGGAGGCGTGCGCAGGGGCGGGTGGCGGGGCTCACGGCCTGTCCGTGCGCTTCTTCCCGGCAGCACATCAACAATGAGCACATCCATGGGGAGAAGAAGGAGTTTGTGTGCCGTTGGCAGGCCTGCACGCGCGAGCAGAAGCCCTTCAAGGCGCAGTACATGCTGGTGGTGCACATGCGTCGGCACACGGGCGAGAAGCCCCACAAGTGCACGGTGAGTGGACCTTCCGGCGCCCCCCTCACCCCCCGGGTTGTCCGGAGCTTCCCGCGCGGCCCTTTCCCCCTCCCCGCGTCTCCGGAGCACAGCCGCGCCCGTGGCTGATGTGGGCTGTGCTGGGCATGGCTGGCCACGGGGAAACGTGGGTTGAACAGGCCGCAGCAGCATTCCGGGGCCCCACCTCCGAAACGAGTTGTCGTCTGTGCTCCTGCCCTGGGCCTTCTGTCCGCGGGGAGTTCTTGAGGACCCCATCTGTCTGCTCCCCAGAACTCTGATGGACTCGGGGAGTGCGTGCATCTCGGTAACTGCAGTGGGGATGTGCTGGTGGCTCTGTAGTTTTGTCTGTGTGTGGCCATGAGCCCCACGGTACGGCTATCCGCCTGCAGTTCGCTGGGCTGGCGGACCGCAGGTGCCGGCTCCCAGTAGCACCCCCTAGTCTGCCCCGCCTCCCCGCCCCCCTCCCCCCCCCCACACACAGAAAAGCTTCGCTGACCAGTCAGAGCTGGAGCAACAGCCCTTTGGTTGAATTTATTTATTTTTTGTATTTCTTTTTTAATTTTTATTTTAAGATTTTATTTCAAAGAGGGAGAAGCCGACTCTCTGCAGAGCAGGGAGCCCGATTCGGGGCTCCATCCCAGGACCCTGGCATCATGACCTGAGCAGAAGGCAGACGCTTAACCGGCTGAGCCACCCAGGCATCCTGAATTTCTTTTTTTAACATAGACACAAAAATAAGACCTTTTAGACAGTTTCCCTTGAGATGTCAACAGAATTTGTGGCTGTAATTGGCAAGACCTTTTTTTAACACACAACTGCTCCCTCTTTAAAAGGGCCACTGCTGGACCAGTGATGCACGGATGTGGTTGCAGCTAAAGCCTCTGGGAACTCTCCGTGAATTACCTTATTTTATAATTCCGAGACAGACATTTTGTTCTCATTTTAATATCTCTGAAATCAGGCTGTCTTAAAATTGGTGTGAACGGGATTCAACGAAATATGCTACCTTTGTTGGCGGGGTTTTTTTTTAACTGAGATAAAATTCACATGCTATAAAGTTCACCGTTTAAAAAATGTACAAGTCAGTGATTTTCAGTATGTTCACTAAGTTGTGCAACCATCACCAATAGCTAATTTCAGAACATTGTCATCACCCCCAAAAGAAACCCTAGACCTGTTTGCAATCACTCCCTGTCCTCTTCCCCCCTACTCCCTAACAACCACTAATCTGCTTCCCTGTCTCTATGAATTGCCCTGTTCCAGACAATTCGTTAAAACAGAATCACGTGATGGACAGCGTTTGTGTCTGGCTTTGTTCACTCAGCATGTTTTCAAGGTTCATCCATGTCATAGCATGTATCAATACCTCGTTTCTGCTTGTGGCTAAGCAACAGTCCGTTGTATGGATAGATCTTAACTATTTTTATCCATTTACCCAGTTGATGGATATTTGCATTGCTTTCACTTTTTGGCTATTATGAAAAATGCTGCTCTGGACACTAGTGTACAAGTTTTCAATTCTCTTGTGTTTGTACTTAGAGTAGAATTGCTGGGTCCTATGGTAACTCTGTTCAACGTTTTGAGGACCAGCCAGACTGCTTTCCAAAAAGGCTGCACCATTTTACATTCCCATCAGCAATATGTGGAGGGATTTCTCCACGTCCTTGCTAACACTTGCTAACTTGTGTTTTGATGACAGTCATCTTAGGGGATGTGAAGTCACATCTCATTGTGGTTTTGATTAGCGATTCCCTAATGACTGATGATGTTGAGCATCTTTTCATGAGCTTAGTGATCATTTGTATACTATCTTTGGAGAAAGGTCTACTCAAATATTTTGCCCATTTTTTAAATTGAGTTACTTGTCTCTACTCTTGGGTTGTAGTAATTCTAAACCCTTATCAGATGTATGACTTCCCAGTAGTTTCTCCCATTCTGTGGGTTTCTTTTCATTTTCTTGATTGTTTCCTTTGAAGCAGCAAAGTTTTTAATTTTGGTGAAGTCCAACTTTTTAACTGCTGGTGCTTTTGGTATCATATCTAAGAAACCATTGCCTAATCCAAGGTCACAAAAATTTACCCCTATGTTTTCTTCTGTGAGTTTTATAGTTTATAAATATATAGCCTTTTTACATACACACACACACACACACACACACATATGGTTTTATAGGGTAGCTCTACCATTTAGGTCTTGAATCCATTTTGAGTCCATTGGGTATACGGTGTGAGGTAGGGGTCCAGCTTCATTCTTTTTGCACGTCGCTGTCCTAGTTGTCCTGATGCAGTTGTTGAAGAGACTGTTCTTTCCCCATAAAATGGCCTTAACACCCTTGTTGAAAATCACCTGACTCTAATATATGAGTTTATTTCTAAACTCTCACTTCTAGTCCATTGATCTCTATGTCTGTCCTTATGGTAGCACCACACACAGTCTTGATTACTGTAGTTTTATAGTAAATTTTGAAATTGGGAAGTGTCAGTTCTTCAAATTTGTCCTCCTTTTGCAAGACTATTTTGGCTCTTCTGGGTCCTTTGCAGCAAGTTATTTTTGTAACACTCTGAGTTATAGCAAACCATAGCCCTGTGGTATGAGCTGTGAGTTGTAGAAACAGATCAATGTACCAAATATACTCAGTCAGACTGGTCAGGAAAAAAGGGGAGGATGCAAACAGTGTGCCAGTTTCTACTGGGGTTTGTGTGTCATTCTGAGGGCAATTTTCATAGGAACATTAGATGCTATTGCAGTATCTTGGGAATATGTTCAGATCTTCCTAGAGTGATCCATCCTTCCTTCCTCTCTCCCTCCTTTTCTGCCACTCTTTCTTGCTCCCTCCTTCCTTCCTTTCCAAAAATGCTTCTTGAGTGCCAAAAAAAATTTTTTTTCATCAGATATTAAATACTGGGAACACAAAAATGAACAAGATCTAGAAGGTACCTGTTCTCTTGGAGCTTGTTTCCTATGGGAAGGCCAGATAACAAAATGATGAAGATTATAAAGTGTGGTAGGAAGTATAAAGCAAAAAGAGTAGTCTTATGATTAAGAAGATCAGAGAAATTCTCCTAGAGGAAATACCCTAAGACATTGAGAGGGAGTGAGCCAGCCCAGGATCCGGGTAGGGTTCTAGCCAGAGGGGACTGTGTGTGCCAAGGCTCCATACCGGGAAGAACTTAGTGGGGCCATGGAACTGAAAGGGGACCAGCATGGCCAGAGCGAGGGTGAGGCCAGCTCATTCAAGGATTTGGAGAACACTGGATTTGATTTGATTTGATTTGATTTGATTTGATTTGATTTAAGTAGGCTCCATGTCCAGCGTGGAGCCCAATGTGGGGCTTGAACTCACAACCCTGAGATCAAGACCTGACTGAGATCAAGAGTCGGACATTTAACTGACTGAGCCACCCAGATGCCCCTGGATTTTATTCTCAGCACGTTTTAACACACACAAACATTCTAATCAGGGAGTGGCACTGGAAACAGTTAAAAGAGTATTTTCAAAAAGTTTTTAATGATATGGGAAGATTCTCACCATGTGCCATTGATTTTAACAAACAGAATATGTAACTAAATATGTGATATGTTCCCAGTTTGGGTTTTTAAACATTTGGGATGAACTACAAAGCCCCCAGAGACTTACGTGGATGTCGGCAGAGGCTGTTCCTGGGCAGCCAATGGTTTTCATTTCTCTTTTTGCACTTTTCCATCCTTTCCAAGTTTTCTAGAGTGGTCTTATGTCATTTTATAATCAGAAAGCAAGGTGGACATTATTGTTGAAACACATACTCCTGGGTGCACCTGCGGGGTGCAGCGGATGGGGGTTTTGGGGAGGAGGCAGCGGGCCAGCCCCTGAGGTCGGGTTCCCTGTGTTGGATCTGGGGCACCCTCACTGACCGAACCCACTTCTTCCCAGTTCGAGGGCTGCTCAAAGGCCTACTCTCGCCTGGAGAACCTGAAGACGCACCTGCGGTCCCACACTGGGGAGAAACCATACGTGTGCGAGCACGAGGGTTGCAACAAGGCCTTCTCCAATGCCTCAGACCGCGCCAAGCATCAGAACCGCACCCACTCCAACGAGGTACCTGGCCAGGGTGTGCACAGCGTGTGCACATGGGGCCCCACTGACATGTGCGTAAATGCATCACCCCATGGCTTCTCGTAGGCCGTCAGGTACCTAGGTGCCTGATGCCCTTCGCCCCCTCCGCAGCCTACTATCTGAGCTCAGCACGCATCGACAGGCCCCTGCCGCTCCACCCTGGGCAGCTGGCAACGACATGCTGTAACCACTACTGCTATGCGACTGACCGTAGCTGTCAGCCCCCCACTGATAGGGCACAGAGCAGCCTTTGTCTCCCTAGGTAGCCAGACCCCCTGGCAGGGCTGATGGAGCCCGGGGAAAGAAGTCTGCTGTACCTGCCTCCCAGTCCAGGCCCAGCCATTCAACTGCTTTTGCTCAGGTAGACTCAGGAAGGAACATTTCTAAAAGCTTAGCTACATTTTGGATCCCAAGAGGATTTCCTTGTAGGAAATCAGAGGAATTCCCAAAGGAATCTAAGCCCGTTAGGGTCTCTAGAGACAAGAGCTAGCCTTGGAGAGGGGTATGTTTATGTACGTGTGTGGATGTTTCCGTGTATGTGGATGTATGTGCGTATGTATTTTTTTTTTCAGCTTGGTGGTTTCCTCTTTATTGATGTGCCTCCTACCTTCCCCACACACACACAATTTCAGTCCCTTCCATCTACGCCCAAAAAAGAAGGTAGTGAAAGGAAGGGAATGTTGGCGTTCTGAGCCCCTTGGGCAGTTAGAAAGGGAACAGAAACCAAAACAATCGCTGGATGTGACAGAGATTGACAATCAAGTAGTCTAAAGCAGAGTGGGAAAGGTGGTAAGAGAAAGGGGAGGCCACCTCCCCCATGAGCCCTCCTGCTAAGAGGGGCTGGAGGAGAGCCTCAAACATTAGGAAGTGCAGGTCCTGAAGAAGGGAGGTGGTGGTTGAGCCGGGAGGAGGAGTAGGTCAAGGAAGGCGGTCCACCTCTCTTTTTGTAGAACGGGACCCCCCACCTCAGGGGGAGCAGCTTCACAGACCGTAGACACTTTCATCACTGGAGGCGAGGTATAGAAAGAAGTCCTCTACATGGTGTTCCTGGTATAGCTGACCCATGTGGCACTGGTGGGTGGAATGACATTGTTGACCAAGAAAAACAAGGCATCCTCAGCTCAGAGATGAATTCGCTTCCAGATCAAGAAGTAGAACAGACCCAACTGTGAGATCAGAAGGCACCAGATATTTCTTTTTGTCCAGGTCTCCTGTCCGAGCTTTGGGAGCCTTTTCTACCATCACTGGAACCCGGTCCGGGTATTTCTTTCCGATATTCTCGCCCTCAGAGCGGCATTTCTCAAATGGATGCTCCTCTTTATAGACCAACTTCATCCTTCCAGGAACCCGGCTGGACCGGGCTGGGCTGAGGGAATCCGGGGTGGGGAGCTGGGACGGGGCAGCGGCGGCGACGGTGCGTGGGCGGATTCAGTGGAACGATCCCGGGACTTGCGCCCAGTATGTGTGTATGTATTATGGGGTGTGTGTGGGTGCGTTATGCACTTGCTCACATGTACATATGTATATGCATGTGTGTGTATGGTGTGTGTGCGTGGACATGGTTATGTGTGAACGTGTGTGGAGGGGTATAGGGGAGTGTGTCTACATGTAGATGTGGGGCATATGTGTGTGCGCGTGTGTGTGTGTGTGTGTGTGAACTCAGGACTGAGGTTCAGAAACCCTGGGTTTTCGTCCCATTCCTGAGTGGCTTTGAACCAGTTTCTTTGCCTCTGTGAACCTGTTTTTCCTCATCAGAGAAATCAGGGTGTTACTGCTGTCTTGCGCGTATTACAAAGTAATACACTCCTACTGATATCAAAAATCCCAGTGCCCTGGTCCCTGGGGAGGTGGCATTGCAATCACACCAAGCTCTGGGTCCCCACCACCTCCATAGTCTCTGATCTATGTCCCCAGCTTGTGATGAGGGCTTCCTCAGCCATGTGCTTACCCACATGAAGAGATGGCAGATCAGACCAGTGGGGCTGAGCTCCTGCAGGCCCTGGGGCTGGCATGGCTCCATCCAGGGTGCCCTGAAGTCCAACACCTTCTGACTATGCCAGCCAAAGGACGTGGCACGGCTTGGGGAGAATGGGGAGTGCCCCCACCCAGAGTCTCATAACACAGGCTTGCTTCTCTCCCCAGAAACCCTATATCTGCAAGATCCCAGGCTGCACCAAGCGATACACGGACCCCAGCTCTCTCCGGAAGCACGTGAAAACAGTACACGGCCCAGATGCTCATGTCACCAAGAAGCAGCGCAACGACGTGCACCTCCGCGCCCCCCTGCTCAAGGAGAACGGGGACAATGAGGCCAGTGCTGAGCCCGGCGGCCGGGGCTCTGAGGAGAGTGCCGAGGCCAGCCGCACCAGCCAGGCCGTGGAGGACTGCCTACACGTCAAAGCCATCAAGACCGAGAGCTCCGGGGTAAGCAGAGCTGGGCAGTGGAGGCCCCAGTGCATGCCTCCCACCCCCCCCAGGAGATCAGGCCCAGCAGCACGAGGGCCCAGAGCCCCGACTGCAGCTGGGGGCTCTGCCTCGGGGTCCCCCCCGCCAAGCGCACGATGATGTCCTCCTCTCTCCAGCTTGACTTTCCTCCCTTCACGACCTTGGGCCTCTCATAGGACCTGTCTTGTGCCAGGTCCCATTCTGCTGGGCAGGGCCACGGGCCGCGGGGATGCCTGCCCCCACGCAATCAGTCTGTGGGTGGTTCCTGGGGTCTGCCTTTCTAGCCAGCACCCAAGCGCTAGTGTTGGTCCCCTCCCCTCTGTCCTGTCTCTGCGTCCTTGCCCCTGTGGCCTCCACTCCTTTTGTTCTAACCACCTGTTCTTTGTCTCCGCCTCTTTTTCTCGACTGTACCTCCCCTAAGGATAGACGGTACTGAGGTGAGCAGAGAAGCCCGGCCGGGGTGTGGGCGGGCTGGCGCGCTGAGGGCGGGCTGGGGTGCTGGTCCAGGCCTGCTGCCTGGGTGCAGACTGACGTGTCAGTCCAGGCCCCTTGGGAGCCTGGTAAAGTGGGTTTGGATCAGTAGGCACCAGGCACTGCAGGTGGAACCCCTGGGACAGATACAGGCTGGTGGCAGGAGTCAAGCTGGCAGACACAGGAGCGAACGGTGGGGACCAAGCCTCCACGAGGGACAGGGCTGAGTGGAGGCGTGAGTTCAGGGCACAGAGGAGGGAAGGACCAGCCAATGGAGGGTCCTGAGTGCCAACATGAGAAATGCAGGTCATGCCACAGGCAGAAGGAAGCATTGGTGCTGAAAATTCCAGAAAAGTCTGGAATTTGGGGTCATGAGGCCTGGGAAGGAGCCCGCAGGTGTTGTATCTGAAGTGAGCTCAGCTGTGCTCAGATCCCAGGTCCCAGTCGAGGCAGCCCAGGTTGTGTGGAGTCCTGCATTGTACACACGAGCCACGAACTCTCTGCCCCCCTCCGTATCGACCCAGAATGGGGGCTGGTTTGGGGTGGCCCTTCAGGCAAGGGCTTGCATCCAGCAGGTCCACCCTCACCTGGTCTTCCTGGCCTTTCTGACAACCTGTCTCTGGCCTGTTGAGAAGGCACCAGGTCAGCAGACCTCCACTGCGCCTTGCTTCATCACATGGCACATCCGTGTTGTTTGGGAACGTTGAGCCGCCCTCTTTGATGTCAACTTGATGCAGCCATGGCTGCTTCTGTAGGGCACAGACTCAAAGTGTCCCCGCACGCTGAAAGAGAGCTCTGGCCCAGACGCTGGCTGGGGGAACTAAGCAGCAGGAAGCAGGGTAATGTGGGGCTGTCCGTTCGCCGGGTGCCTTCTGCCTACCGGAGGCTTTCCATCTAGCCACTGGCCCTGTCCCAGAGGCAGCTCAGGTGCATCTTCTAGTTGGGGAAGCTGAGATTCAGAGAAGTGAGGTGGCTGGGCCACCTGCTGCAGATAGTGATGCTCAGAAGCTCCTCTGCATGGCAGCCTCCTTCCCGGGTGTGCAAGGGCACGGCGCGTGTGCGGGCAGGGGCACAGGGCCAGGGGGTTTCTCGCACCCTCTGACCCTGTGCCTTCTCACCACACCCCCTGTAGCTGTGTCAGTCCAGCCCCGGGGCCCAGTCGTCCTGCAGCAGTGAGCCCTCTCCCCTGGGCAGTGCCCCCAACAATGACAGCGGCGTGGAGATGCCGGGGACAGGGCCCGGGAGCCTGGGAGACCTGACGGCTCTGGAGGACACGCCCCCGGGGGCCGATGCCTCAGCCCTGGCCGCTCCCTCTGCTGGTGGCCTGCAGCTGCGCAAACATATGACCGCCATGCACCGGTTCGAGCAGCTCAAGAAGGAGAAGCTCAAGTCACTCAAGGATTCCTGCTCTTGGGCCGGGCCGGCTCCACACACCCGGAACACCAAGCTGCCTCCCCTCCCGGGAAGTGGTGAGTGGAGACCCCGGGTGTGCAGGCAGGGGCGGGACAGGGCCCGGGGCAAGCACCCACTAGGTTCACCTCCATCGAGCGCCATGTGCCGTCTCACCGGTTGCCCACAATAGGATAGATCTTACCAGCCCATTGCATAGATAAGGAAAATGAGGCTTAGAGAGGTGAAAGTGCCCCACTCGGCTCAACGGCAGAGCTGAGTGAGACTCCGTCCAGGCCTAAGTGGCTCCAAGCTTTTTCAGCTACACCATGCTTCGGCTCTGGGCACTGTGGCAAAGGCCCTAGGGAGGAGAGCACTATAATCCCAGTCCCTGTGGTTAGAAGGCCATGCCAGGAGATGCATGGACCGGGGAAGGAGCCGGGGAGCGAGGACGGAGCTCGGGCTGGAGCTGGGCAGAGGAGAGAGACAGCACGTCAGCTGGGGAAGAACAGGGAGGACGTTATGCACAGGACAGCCTCAGGACGTGCTGGCCAGGCTTTGAGCTGCACGGTGTCCTCAGGAGCATTTCCTGAGTGCCGACTCTGGGCCGGGCAGTGAGCTGGGCCCACAGCCCGTGTGGCGGACACCGAGATGCACCACCCAGGTCTCCCTCGAAGGGAGGCTTTGTTGCCCCAGCTGTTGCGGGAACTGCAGGCAAATGGCCTTCCACTCTCCGCCTCATACAGAAATCGCTTGGGTTGCAGACAGCTGCCTTACCCGAGGTCACCCCTTCCCGGGGTGGCCCCCATCCGGTGACTGATCACGGCAGGAGTGTAAGGCCGTTCAAGGCCCAGAGCTTCCTGTGACATCAGCTGTCATGGGGTCTGCGTGGCCACACACTTCTCTCCCCGCCCCCCCCCCATTCTGGGGCCTATGCTCCCTTCCATGGGTGTGCATCTCAGGGGGCTGCCTATAAACCCAGCCCCTGGGGAGCCAGCCTGGCCACAGCCAGGCCCAGATGGTGAAGGTGCGGGGAGGCGGTGGCCAGGGCCCTCCCGGGCTCCTCCTCCCTGGCTCTCAATAACCGCCTCCTGCGGAGAGGCACATTTTATCTACAGCTGGAGAAACGAAGGCTCCGACGGAATGAGAATTCAAGGCCGGCCAAGCAGTGGCAGCTAAGATCGGCATCAGGCCTCCTGACTCCCACTGGGCCATCATTTGTTCACTTGCTGTCCCCCGCTTCCCTCCTTTCATTTAGAAGTCACTGGTTGAGCGCCTGCTGTGTGCTGGGCCCGGTAGGGGGGTCCAGCGGCCGCAGGCTCAGCTCGGTCAAAGGCAGAGCAGCCGCGCCCTGTCCGCGGCCGCTGACCCCTCTCCTTTCCCGCAGGCTCCATCCTGGAAAACCTCGGCGGCGGCGGGGGCGGCGGCGGCGGGCCGGCGGGGCTGCTGCCCAACCCGCGGCTGTCCGAGCTGTCCGCGAGCGAGGTGACCATGCTGAGCCACCTGCAGGAGCGCCGCGACAGCTCCACCAGCACGGTCAGCTCCGCCTACACCGTGAGCCGCCGCTCCTCCGGCATCTCCCCCTACTTCTCCAGCCGCCGCTCCAGCGAGGCGTCGCCCCTGGGCGCCGGCCGCCCCCACAACGCCAGCTCGGCCGACTCCTACGACCCGATCTCCACCGATGCGTCGCGGCGCTCGAGCGAG